TCATTTGCTTAGCAAAATAAATCATTTTATTCATTATATATTGTATCGTTATCCACATAATTATACGACAATGATTTAAAATACTAAAACATAATAACTTGTACGTAAGTACTTCAATTAAAATTTGAAATATTTTCCGTTTCTTTTTGGTCAGTATGATTTATTATTATTTTTTTTTTTATCAAATAAACAAAAATTGAAAAATTAAATCCTATTTGAACCGAAAACCGAAAACCGAATACACACTAATAGGAATAGTTAGAAACTTAGAAAGAAAATATGGAGAATGAGAGGAGGAGACAAGTTCGATGTAAATGAGAGAAAAGATGGAAACTCGACTCCAATATCATAATCATTAATTATAATCCAACTTGATTAAAAAGTGATGACGTTAGCTAGACAATATAATTAAAACAAAAGAGTAACCTCATTCTCACTACTTGTATTGGTATCACAATTATATAAGAAAGAGCGCGTGGGACTAGTTTAAACAAATGTAAAACAAATTAAACAAATTATACGTCATCAAAATTGTCCTTTTCTTAACTAATATAATTAATTTTTGGTTACTAGATTTTTAATGCATAACCAATGAGAAAAGAGGCCCAACTTGACTTTTTTGTTAAAATATAATTAGTTATTTAATTAAATTAAGCACGTAAGTAAACTATGATAGGTTACACCCAAAGCTAGGTCACTCTTATTTAACACTTTGAAACTTTCTTAATTGATTAGATTAAGGAGTGTTGGTTGAAGAGGAGACAATGACAGGCACGAATACCTCAAGATTCAAGTCTTTAATCATGTTTAATGGCACCTTAATTAAGAAAATTAATTATTTAATTAAAGTTTTGTTAGTTGGATTCCGGAATCAAATTAATTGATTTCTTTTGTATTTGTATCTTTCTTATGTCATACCAACCTGAAGTAAATTAAAAATAATTAAACAATTATTAGAAAATTAATATTGTTGTACTAATATGATGGAGATCGAGCAATGCAACGCGGAGGGAGGTAAGGTGGGTTTATTCTAAGTGATTAAATTATTTTTAGGGATATAATAGAAAGTTGAAGGGTTGATGCCTTTGTTTTTCCAACATGGCTTACTTTTGTCAAACATTTCTTGTACACCAACTATGAATTTAGGGTTTGGTAGTGAAAATGTGACATCCAATAATTATCCATTTAGAAATTTAGATTCACTTATTGTTTGATGATTAACAAATTAGGCGTGAGAAGGAATAGCTAGTCATCGCCAATTAGTTAGATTGATTAACCTTTGGGTGGGTCCATGCGTATAGACTTTACATATATAATAGTATGCAAATTATGTTTATTTGGATACGCAAGACTTAGGTGGAGGTGACCTAGCCCATCTCATATTCAGAATCGAACCTATATCCACAAAGATCATAATCTCCTCATAAGCCCTTATAAACTTGATAGAAATCAAACTCTTGTCACAAAGGTGGTAGGTTGGAATCATTACAATCTCAACTATAGTTAGCCTTGATTACATAGTTTGAAAATTGGGCGATCATCATATGATTTACTCCTGAAGTACGTCTTATGTTAATATTACAACAATACAGCTAATATGACTCATATTGGAACTTGTCACCTTTGTGTCATATTGATTTCGATACCATGTTAAAGGACAATCTCAACAAAAAATTTAAGCTGATGGTTAAAACTCAAGATTAGTTCATATACTCTATCAAAGATGATCAACTTTAGAAATATAAACTTTGACTAAATACAGAAATAAACCTATCAAAATGTGCATAGTTGAAACATAAGATATAATCAAAACATGTATGTAGTTGAATAAAATTTAGAATATATGAAGTATTAATCAAGTGTATATATTTTAAATAGAAGAATATGGTATCTTGACTCTTGGATTGAACTAAGGATCATAGTCATACTTTAAAATGGATATTATGCCAAAACTTGTGACAAGAAAGATGTTTATTATTTACTCTTAAAAATGAGCAACTTGTACTGGGACGAACATTTCTGCATAAATCCTTTTCATTTTGTATACTTTCCTTGGCAAAACGAAAACACTAGCTTAAAGCTTAAAGATGTTTATTAATTACCCTTAAATCTCATTTTGATCTATTGAGGGATATATTTTGAGAATATTATAGGATATATTTTGTTCCCTATTTTATGGCTAGAATATCTTGAGATTATATTTTAGGTAGTTTCCTAATTCTATCATATTAGGGAATAACTTGTATTATATATTCTGATGAGAGTAATCAATGAAATTCAAGCTTTGAGGTTTTACATAATTTAACATGGTATCAAGAGCAAGTTAAATATTGGGACCGTTCACACAAATACTCCCCCTGCCGGGCTGCCTAACCCACCGGTGTGATTCATAAATTTGCTTCCGCTATGCACTAGTATTGCTCTTTGAAAGATATTTAGTGATTAAAAACTGCACATAAAACGATGATCTGATCTGAACTTATTTTTTCTGATATGATCTGAACTTATTTTTTCTGAAATAAGTAAAAATAAGGTGAACTAAATAAGGCCTATGCGAGAGATGTGTGCAAGAACCATCTCTTTATTTGATTCAGTATTTTATACAAGTATTTATTAATTTCAAATTTCTCTTATTGTAATGTCATATGACATATGACATTATTAATGAATGAATTATACTAACAAAAAAAAATAAATAAATAAACTAGTAATCAAATATATATATATATATATATATATATATATATATATATATATATATATATATATATATATATATAAAGGGGAGTTTTTTCCTGAGTTTTTAGAGAGCCACGTAGGATCTAATTTTCTCAGCGCGCCATGTAGGATTATAAATCTTAGTAGTAGCCAATTAAATAAGAGATTATTAATTTCTTTTAGAATTAAATAATTTAAATGCCATGTAAGCAAAATTGACGAATGAGATTTTTAAGTTTAAATTAATTAAATATTATATATTATCTTTTAATGTTAGGAATTTTATCTAAATATATAACAAATTTTAGGCTCATAAATACAAAAAAACCATTATTTTAAAAAAAATCAAACAAACCGTGCATCGCACGGGCTTCATCTAGTTATTTTATAAGTTAGAACATCAATACTAAAGCTTAGGAAATCTCGTTTAGTTTCTAAGATTCATTAAATTAAATTGCGACTTCATAATCATTTCCTTCTATATTATTAGCAAAAGATGAAATAAGAAGAGTACACGAAAAAAATAACTCTGATGCACAATCCGCATAATCCGCTCCAAAATACAAAAAAGGCGGAATGAACATGCAGGTATATACTAATATACATGTGCATATAAAAGAACATAGTGTTCATTTATAATGTACATGGACATATACATAAAAGAACATATTGTTCATTTATAATGTACATCAGATTTTTGTGCAACAATTTTGTGTGTGTATGTGTATATATATATATATATATATATATATATATATATATATATATATATATATATATATATATATTAAGAAATTTTGTATAATGAAATAGATAAACAGTACTGTAATTATTTTTTTTACCATACATTAATTACTAATCATTTCAATTTTTTTTTAACCAAAAGTTCATTTTCTCTCTCCAAACAAATTAAAACTTCAAACCCTATTAAATTCCTCAAACCTCAAGCGAAATTTCAAGAAATTCGAAATTTTGAGTCCAAAATTGTTCAAGATGACAAATAAAAACAAAAGGTAAGACCAAATTTGACATTCATACTTGTTTATTTTGAGTTTTGAGTGTTTATTTTTTATAAATTTGATTGAAAATTGTAATATTTGATTTTATTGGGAATTAATTGCGATTTTGATGTAATTTTGTTGTTGCAATGAGAAATAAAATGAAGTTCTTGAAGAAGATCGATCGATTAATTACATTTTGGAAGAAAAAAGCAAGCAAAAAAAAAAAATTAGAAAAAGTTGTAGATCCAAATAATACAATGTACATTAAAATACAGTAAAATGATCTTTTTTCATATACTTACATGATCCAAATAATACAATGTACATTATAAACATGAAACCAACATTATTACATATATGTTCATTAGAATATAATACAATGTACATTACAATACAATAAAATGTACTTTTTCATGTACATACATGATAATTTATACTAAATGTACATTTAATATATGAATAATGTTCTTTAATATTATCATGTTCTTTAACTAATATTACAATGTTCTTTAGATTTACAAAAAAAAACATACAAAACTAGATATTCTTTATAAATTAGCTATTTTTTCTTTACAAAACAACTATATGTTCTTTACTGAACAACTATTCCGCCTTTTTTTTTTTTTAAAGAAAACCGGATGCACCAAGCATTGTGCATCTGCCTCCATAGAGAAAATTGATCAAGCCATCCTACAAGTTTATGACTTGCTATAAGACTAAAGCAAAGTTAAACTTAACTGATATTTTATTCCAAGAACTTCTAGTTAATTACTCAGGAAAATGGAAGGCCAGACTGCATAGCTAATTAGCTACTGTCTGGTCAGCACAACTGCTAGATTATGTAAATAATGTAGTGATAGTTTCGCCCTTTGGTTACTCGAGGCGTGGCTGAAAATCTCAGCCCTTTTAACCTTCACTGTTGCTTCACCGGCCTCTCGTTGTTTAAGCATATCTAACTGCAAGTCTGCAACCCGAACACATAATTCTGATACCAAAATCAGGGATGTGTCATAACTGTCATTGGCACAACAACCATATGTGATGATAACGTTACTTCTTACCACTAGTTGTGACTTGACTCATTTTGAAATAACTCGACCTTTTTTGAAATAAGGAACAAGCAATGTTAATGATAGTTATTATATACTTATATGGCAAATTGCAATACTTGAATTCCTTAGTCTGAGGCTATATTTGGGGGTTTATGTAATGAAAATTGGTATTTGTCTATGACACTCTTCGATCATACTTTCCGCATAGAATTACTTTTGATGGTGCCTCTATGGTTCTACAATCAACTAAATAACACTCAACGATGGCAGTAGTACAGCAGAAGTGCGCTAATCAGTAATCACTATACAATTACTCAAGTTTTCTTACAACAAATACAACTCTTTTATCATTGGATACGACTAGCAAACAACACTATATTGGACTATTGTAGTATAATGAATCAATCTTTGGCGTGAAAATGAACCAATTTACATCCTAAAGAAGTCGACTAATTGCTCTATCTTCAAGTAATGCTTCAACAGCTCTCCTACCGGAAACTAAGGCCCCATCAAATGTAGCACTAGTTTGGTAATCCCCACACAAGTACAATCCATACCCAGGCCCAATCCTCGGACTCTTCATCAAGTCCGTAGGCAGGCTTTGATTTGGTTGGGCAAACTTGACCCGATAAGTCCTCAAATGCTTCCAACTCCCAACAATCGACTCCCCGAACCACCCCAAAAGCTCTCGTACCACCCGCCCAATCAACTCATCATCTGACACATCATCATACAATCCGATCAACGTAGTTGACACCAGCGCCTTATTAGGCGGGCCATACGACCGGGCAACATTAGTAGCAAAAAACATATTGTTCACAATCCCACGACCTGACCCATTTAGATACAAAACTGGGTCTGAGGTCGGGATTTTATCCATATCCGAAGTAAAATACAAACAAACCGTACTCTGACCAGGCTTTTTATTTCCCGATTTATTTACTCCCTCCAACAAATTTCCCGCTAAAATCTTTTCAACTTCTGGTTTCTCAACTGCTAAAATTACCCCAATCTCACTTCTCAAACTTTCTCCATTATCTAACCTCAAATTAACCCTCTTTTCTTCATCAATGTCAATCGATTCAACTCTCAAATTCAACCTAATGCAATCTTGAGGCAATTTCGAGACCAACTGATTCGGTATTTCGCCGATTCCTTTCGCAGGAAGCGTATTATCTCCCAATGCGAGGCATCTAAAGATGAAATCGAACAACCTCGATGACGTTTCGAGGTCTCGATCGAAGAAAATCCCACCAAAAAACGGCCTAAAAAACCTATCAATAATCGAATCCGAAAAACCCGAATTTCTCAGCAATTCAATCACAGGAACCTCATTAGCAACAACAATTTCCTCAAATGATTTGGTCAAAACCTTAATTCTAGTTAATCCGATTAGCAATTTATCAAGAATTGTACCAATGGGATTACCTAGGGTTCCAATGGAGTCCCAATAATGTCGAACAGGATCAGCAACAGTGTGAAATCCGCCATTGTAGTAAACTCGAGCTCCTGAGTAGAATTTTTGGAGGTCTAAGGTAGAGTAATCGAGAAGCTTTTGTGCTTCAGGGTAGGCGGTGATGAAGATCTGGAAGCCTCGATCAAGGAGGAAGCCATCGACGAGGTCTATACGGACACGACCGCCGACGCCGTCGGAAGCTTCGAGAAGGAGGAAAGGGACGCCGGAAGAGTGAAGGTGAGTGGCGGCGGAGAGTCCGGCGAGGCCGCCGCCGATGATGATGGCGGATTTGGGGTTGTTGACGGTGGTTGCGGGGGCGGGCGGTGAATCGTTGGTGTTGGCGAGGGTGGATTTAGGGAGGAGAGAGAAATTGCGATGGCGATGGCGGCGGGGGAGGAGGAGTTGGGGATGGGAGATGGTGATGGTAGTGGTAGTGGTGGTAAGGGAGGAAGAGATGATCATTGGATATTGTAGCTATTGAAGTTTGAGGATAAGGTATTATCTAATCCTGTATTCTTTACCTTTGGATGTTTTTGGGTTTTGTGGATCATAAGTGACTAAATGTGTGTGTGGTTCATGCATTGCATTACATATTTACATTGGCTTTGGATTGTGATTTTGCCCTTGTGGGCAATATTAAGGGTATTGATATCTTGTTCGTTTCATCATATTTTCGGTTATTTTGAAAAAATTAATCTATAAGAACTATGATTTAAGATGAGAATTACTTTAATAAGACTCTCAAATTCAGATTGCAACTATGATACTTTATACGTAGTAATAAGGTCTAAGTTAATCAAATGAATAAAAAGTACGCTAAAAAGTAAAAATGTAAAACTATGATGCTTTATAATAACACCTTTACACTAATTTATTATGGACCATCAATGTTAGAGAGAATATGATTGTTTTGTTAAAAAAAAATAAGGTCACTATATTAAAATAAAGGTTATTATGTTGAAATAAAAGTTAGTGTGACATAAGCTATAATAGGTTAATTCTTTTAATGAAATTTTTAATACTATGGTCAATATGAATAATAAACACCACTATTTTAAAATTTCAACATAATGTCATACTTTAAGTTCGTAATAAAATTAAAGGTCACACAAGTTTTAAAAAGGAAAAATTGATGGGAATAATAATCCCACCTTTTGAGCGTCGGAGATTAATAATCCCACTTTTGGGACTCTTTTTAATAATCCCACCTTTGATGTCAATCCGCTTAAAATAGTTCCGGGTGACCAGTAACCGGTTAAAGAGGTAATTTTTTTTACTAAGTTTATTTTACATGTGTCACAATTTGATTTGTCTAAAATAAATAAAAAAAACAACACCACCACCTAAGCTACACCACAACCACCACCACCCAGACCGTAAAACCACCAACCCACCTAGAAACCGACCGTGTTCCCACCGCCCTAGAAACTGACCGAGTTCCCACCGCCCCAGGAACCGACCAAGATCCCACCCCTGCCAAAACATTCCCAAAACCACCTTTGAAAACCAAATCTAAAACCACCTTCGAAAAATTGAAAACCCACCAAATCGGCCTAAATCGAGGTTAGGGGAGGAAGACGTGGTGGGGATAGGGGACAGGGAAGATAGGCGCGCGGGGAATGGGGGATAGGGAAGGTCGGAGCGACCTCAAAAGGGGACGGGGGACAGGGAGGGCCTAGGATCGGGGGACGGGGAAGGTTGAAATGAGGGGTGGGGAGGGGCTGGGATCGGGGGATGGGGAAGCTTGCTTGCGACGGCCGACTAGTTCAGGGGGGTTGGTAGCGACACCGACATCGGAGTTGGGGTTGGGGATGGCTGGCCGGAAGGAGAAAGGGTCTTTGAGGGTTGCGGGATGGTTGGTTTCGAGGGTTTTCGTCATGGTGGAGGGAGGTTGTTGGTTCGGGGGAGAGGGAGGGTGGCGTCGGCGCTGGGGAGGCGGTCTGGGCGGTCAGCGTTGTGGGGCAGGGGAGTCCGGCAGCGAGGTCGGCCGAAACAGGCGGTGGGGAACGTGGTTGGGGCTGGTGGGTGATTTTTTAATTATTCAATTAATTTCTTTTTATTTTTTATTAAAAACTTTAAACTTTTTTTTTTTTTGACCAATCACTAGCCAACACGTGTCTGGTAACTTGTTATAACTAGTTCCATGACCTGTTGGGACTATTAGAAGTGAATTGGGTACAAAGGTGGCATTATTAAAAAGAATTCCAAAGGTGGGATTATTAACCTCCGACGCTCAAAAGGTGGGATTATTAAAAAGAATTCCAAATGTGGGATTATTAAAAAGAATTCCAAAGGTGGGATTATTAATCTCCGACGCTCAAAAGGTGGGATTATTCCCATCAATTTTTTCTTTTAAAAAAAGTTACTATGTTAAAAATAAGGTTACTATATTAAAATTAAGGGTCACTATGTTTAATATAATGACAATTTCGTGTGGATAAGATCCGCAATAATGTTATTGTGGACCAGGTCCACAATATTGTTATTGTGAACCAGGTCCACACAAGATTTATTGTATAGTATTTTTACCATACCTTAATATTTAGATATGATACTGACCAAATTTTAATTGGGTTATTAGAAATTAGATTTCAAGAGCTTTCCAATCAATCAATCAATCATCATCAATAACTATATACTAAAAGACATACCAACAATAAAGACACACCAACAATGACATGTGTCATCTCCTGGTGTGTCTTTATTTATTTTTTTTTTGAAAATAAATTATTTAAGAAACAATTTTTTTTACATATATAAAGTAATAATTACATAAGATACAAAGTATAATAAAAGCTAAGATTTGATGTATCTTTAAAAAAAAAATATTGACAACTACTCCCCCCGTTCCACTTTGTTAGTCTCATATGAAATCAATCACAAAAAATAAGAGAATGAATTATATTTGGAATCTTACATTTTAGTACAAAAGCTGCTTATTTAATTCTATCTTATTAAATGTTATGATTTTTTTTCTTTGGAAAGCATCAATTATGATGCTTGTTTAACGTGAGGAATATCAATCAAATGTCATGTCATCGATCCACTAATGGGATTGATGACCACCCAGAATATTTAATTACTGTCATGCCATCAATCCACTAACGTGATAAGAAATTATAAGATCAAATTAGGAAAATAAAATAAAATAAGAAAGAAATATATTCAATATGGGTAGATCATTTTAAAACGCCCAGTATAGTATATGGGACTAACATTATAAAACAGAGGGAGTATAAAGTTAAGCAAATAAAATAAATAAATAAATATTTAACATGATTTGTGATTTATAGACTATTTTTTTTTTAGAAAAGACATATTATATGTATTACTACGTGAACTGTTAAACATCGCCCGCAAATTCCTACATAAAGCCCACAAAATAAGAGTGAAATGACACTTTTGCCCTCAAACTAAAAAACACAATTTCTCTCTCTACTCTCTACTTCCACTTTCTCTCTCTAAATTATTTCCAGAGCTATGTCGAGGCGGCCCGGCAAGGAAGTGGCGGCACCGGCGGTGGGCGGAAGGCGGTTTGCCGGCCAGAAGGTAATTTTTTAAATTTTTGTAATTTTTTTTTTAAAAAAAAAAACCTCCGGCGACGGTGGGGCGCCAAGGCGAGACGCCACCACCACGGAGGAAGTGCCTAGGCAAGACGCCCATACGGTGGTGGCGGCGCCTAGCCCAGACGCCACTACCACGGCGGCGGCGCATAGGCTAGGCGCCACGGCCGTGGTAGTGGCGTCTGGGCTAGGCGCCGCCACCACCGTACGGGCGTCTTGCCTAGGCGCCTCCTTCTCTTTTTTTTTTTTAAATTTTTTTTTTTTTTTAATTTTAAATTTTATTTTCGAATTTTTTTTTTTTTTAAAAAAATTTGTTTTTCTTTTTTTTAAATTGTATGTTCCCTTTTTTTTTTTTATCTTTTTTTTTTTAAATTTTGTTTTTTTATTTGTTTTAATTTTATGTTCTATTTTTTTTTTTAAAAAAAAATTGTTTCTGGTTTTAATTTTTAATTTTATGTTCCTATGTATTTTTGTTTTTTTTTTTGAATTATATTTTTGTATGTAAAAAAATTATAAGTTCCCTTTTTTTTTTTTTTATAAATTTTCTTTAAAATTTTGATGTTCTTCTTTTTTTAAGTTTTTGCAATTTTAAATTTTTTAAGTTTTGTTAGTTTTTTGTTTTTGGTTTTTTCTTTGCATTTTTGATTTTTTGTTTTTGTTTATGTTTTTCATTTTTTAGTTTGTTGTTTATATTTTTTGTTTTTGGTTATATATTTTGTTTTTGGTATATTGTTTTGTTCATATTTATATTTTTTTATGTTTATATTTATATTTTTTATGTTTTTATTTATATTGTGTTGTTTATATTTTTATTTTTTATGTTTATAATTTTATTTCCGTTACTTGTTTATTTGCTTTTGTGTTTATTTTCGTCCTTTTTTGTATTTATATTTTTTGTTTTTGGTAATATTTTTTGTTTTTGTTTTTGTTTATGTTTGTTTGTTTTTTGTTTGTAGTTTATATTTTTTGTTTTTGGTATATGTTTATGTTTATATTTCTTATGTTTATATGTATATTGTCTTGTATATATTTATATTTTTTATGTTTATAATTTTATTTCCGTGACTTGTTTATTTGCTTTTGTGTTTATTTTCGACTTTTTTTAATTTGTTTTCGTTATTATGTTTCGTTATTTACTTGGAGTTAGGCATCGCAATTTGGACCTGGTGCGGGGAAGAGTATTGACGTCGTGAGGAGTACGATCTACTCAATGGAGAGCTCGGGGCCCAGACACGTTAGATCCCGTGGTATTTCGGCCTCGGCCCGCAGAGAACGGGTGCACTGTTCTGCGGACGATCAAGATGATGATGATGATGATGAGGAGGAGGAGGAGGAGGTCGAGGACGAGGATGATGCAGATGAGGATGTCGACGATCAGAGTGGACCATATGATGATTACGGTCCATTCAGTCAGAGGCTTGATGATACGTATGAGACGCATAGGGTAGATGTGCGTAAGGGTCGAGATGGTAGGTTTGTTAGTAGATCTGGCACATCATCTGCGTCCACTGTGTCTGCGGGTAGCAGAAAACGGTCGAGGGCCGTTAATGATTCTTGGATGGTGAGGGGTGAGGTGGCCGGGGGACCTATAGACGGGAGTGTGATTCCTAGCTTTTTAGGACACATCGCTACCCGTATTTGGGAGGACCAGGAGAGGGCTTTGGATACAGGCATTTTGAAATGCCAAACCCGGGAAAAGACTTGTAGGTTTTTGTGTAGCTGGGCTGATGCTTGGCCGGAGGAGAGCGAGATGGTCGGGCGATTGAGGGGCACTAGAGTGAGTCACCTTCCTGCCACCATGCACGACAGGATTGACTGGACGCTGATCTCGGCTTTCGTTGAGCGATGGCAGCCGGATACGAACTCGTTCCACCTTCCGTTCGGTGAGATGACGATCATGTTGCATGACGTCGAGGCCATCCTTGGGATTCCCGTGGAGGGAAACCGAGCATCTGTCGTCACTGATGCGGATCAGGCAGATTTACTAGCGGAGCTGTTGGCGGTGGATAGGGCTGCGCTGTACACATCGGCACTTGGTGTGTGGGATCACGGCGGCGTTAAGATCGCAGCCGTCTTGCAGCGATGTTTGCACCCTACGGCACGTAGGACGCAGGACACACAGCTGGCTGCATATGTTTTTCTTCTTCTCGGGTGTACCTTGTTTCCGGATAAGAGCGGGAACAAGCTCAGGCCACGCGACATAGTTGACGCGTGTGAGCCCGACAGAGTAGGCCAGTTTTCTTGGGGGTCGGCTACGCGACATACCTTGTTTCCAAGTTGTCCCACCTCCACCGGCATGGCCCAGTAAGGCGGTACGATCTGCGTCGTCGAAGGAGTACGTCGTCCAATGGCCGGCAAACATGATATCCATGTGGGAGCAGTTTCCGATGGTTGCCCGCCTATGGACGGCGGAGCTGCAGCGGCCGCCAAGTGGGGTGACTGCCATGTGTGACCAGCACTACATGGAATGGTACATCCGGCACTCGCACCCGAGGTTGATCAAAGACATCGACGACGCAGATGATGACGATGTGCCACCTGCCACTGTCTCTTATGCGGTACGTCTCATCTTTTATTTGTTGTTCTCTTATTTTAATATATATATGTATAATACGTCGTTTCATGTTTTTTGTTTTGTGTAGTGGATGGGCAAGATTATGCAGTTGGGACACCGACTTTTTGAGGAAAGGGACTGCATGACGAGTGCATCAGGCAGAGCTGTTATTGACGACCGTGGAGAATCTTAAATATGAAATGGCCATACAACATGCCATGTCGTCGTCTGGAGTCCTCGAGATAGTTCTTGATGCCGTTCTTCTGAGTATCAATAGCCTTGTTTATTCTCTCGAACAGTGTATCCAGAGCAGCCGTGGAAGAATCAATCCAGTCCTTCAAAGCTCTATGAGCGCTCTCGACTCTGCATGTCGTAGTGTTCCCAAAATGAAGAACTTGGTTCGTCCAATATTTGACAAACTTTTCCCCTCTGAGGTACCCACTGGTGCATCACATAGTCTACGATTGGCGGGCACCACTTGTACGCATCCTTGAAGTTTTCCAAGGCTCGATCGTACTCTGCCTCTGTGGTAGCTTGCATGATCTTCCGCCACTTACCATTTACCAATGTCTCTGCTGTTACTAAATTCTTGTTGAAAAGATTGTAGGCTTTGACTTTCACGCAGTTGTTGATGTGCCATGTGCACAGTAAATGGCTCGACTCCGGAAACAGCTCCGCTATAGGGGCAAAAAGACCTCCCTCACAATCACTTACGATGGCCGATGGCTGTACATTTGGGCCGATGTAGTTTCTCAACTTTTCCAACACCCAACGGTAACTCGCAGCCGTCTCATCCTTCATGACTGCATAACCAATCAGAAAGTTCTGGTTCGTTGGAGCCATCCCAACCATCTCAACCAGTGGGAACTTGTACTTGTTTGTCTTGTACGTTGAATCGATCAAAATCACAGATGGCCAAGACGAAATCATATCAGCACAATCAGGATGGACAAGGAACAAATGAGTTACCTCCGATGTGTCTTCGTCAGATTCAAACCAGTAAAGGTAACCACGTGCTTGTGCCTGGTGCAGAAGCTGTTGTATAGGGTTCCTTCCCTCTGACCGTTCAAACCTCAATTTCTGTCTGACGTTGTAGATGTGTCTTCGGTTTGGCTGGTCTTCGGGGAATTTCTCTAACACAGACGCTAATATTTTAGCGGGCTTCACTTGAGCATCACTCATTTCTTTTACAACTAGTTTCGCAGCTGGACTTAGGCCGCTTAACTGCCGATGCCCCACTTTGTATGCTATCAGCTCATGGTTGTGATATCCCCATTTGCCGTAACCCTTCACTTCCCAACCGTCACGCCTTTGATGTTGTCGAACCTTAACTCGGAACTGACACCCACAACCTTTCCGCTTTGAGTCAAACCGAATCGCTTTACTGAAATCTCGTTCTTCTCTTTTGCGATAACGGTCGCATCTCAAAATGCGATCCATTCTACCATCCCGTTGAGATTTATGAGTTGCTACTACTAAACAAAAGCCTGATCTAATTGCAACCTGTTTTGCCCAATCAATCGCTTGTTGAGCATCTTCGAACAGGCCATCATGTACAAAAATCCCACTGTAATCATTTCCGTCTCCACCATAATCCTGTAACAATAACATATAACGTATAAATATAATTACATTAAGATTAAATTAATACACTTAACACAAAATTATCACAAACGCAATTTCTAAATTTTAAATTTCTAAATATCATTTTTATATTTAACGCATAATACATTTAAAAAACAAAATAATAACACACATTTCATTTCAAATTTATCAAACATAAATAAACAAACAAAAAAAACCATAATAAAAAAAAAAAAAACAAATACAAAACAAAATAAAACAAAATAAAACAAAAACAAACACAAAATAAAAGATGCATTAAAAAAACTTAATTAAAAAAAAAAATTAATTCCCTCCAAAAAAAATTAAAAGGAAATAAAACAACACAAGCAAACAAAAACAAAAAAATTCCAAAAAAAAAACAAAACAAAATAAAACACCACAAGCAAAAAAAAATCAAAAACAAATCAAAACAAATAAACAAAAAAAACAAAACAAATCAAACAAAAAAACAAAAAAAAAACAAAACCAAACAAAAAAAAAACAAACAAACAAATAAAAAAAAAACAAAAAAAAAAACAAACAAACAAAAAAAAACAAACAAACAAATCAAAAAAAAAAACAAAAACAAAACAAACAAACAAAAAAAAACAAACAAACAAATAAAAAAAAAAACAAAAACAAAACAAACAAACAAAAATAAAAACAAACAAACAAATAAAAAAAAAAACAAAAACAAAACAAAAAAAACAAAAAAAAAAAAGGGATTAAATTAAAAAAAAAAAAAAAAAATAAAAAAAAAAATATATTCCCCTAGTGGCGCCTGGCCACGCGCCACTACCATGGTCGAGGCTTCTCCACCAGGCGCCGTTACCACGGTGGCGGCGTCCTGGCTAGGCGCCACAACCACGGCGTGGCCTTTTGGCTAGGTGCCAGCCACCATTTCGTCCTTACGATGCGTTACGAACCTCGTTTTCCGATGACGACGGCGATTCTCCGGTGATCCTCGGCGATCCGGTGCTGCTCCACATTTTTTTAGTGCGAAAAATTTATCTTCGGTTAAAATTATAAAAAGGGCAAATTTGTCAAAAAATTATAAAATGTGGGCTTTATGTAGAGATTTGCGGGCGATGAATAACAAGTCCCACTAACAAGATTATATATTCTTTTTCTTGATTGATTTTTTTAAGGAAAAAATGATGGGAATAATCCCAACTTTGTCCGATTTGCTCAAAATAATCTCAACTATCGAATATTTTTAAATAATCCCAACTTTATACTCCGATCTTTTGAAATGGTCCCAACAAGTTAATACACCTATTGTTGCCGGTTTGTAGTTGACGTGACATCCAACGGTTCTAATAAGTTGAATTTAGATTAGTTTTCCCTAAAGAAATTTTTTTGTATACACCCGTTTTACACTAATACTAATGTACATCGAGCAGTATAAGGATAATTTTTAGCTAATTTTAGGGTAACTTTTTGCCTTTTTTTGGGTAACTTTAAACATCATACAATTTTTATATAAATAGACAACAAGAAAAGTTTTATAAAGGTAATTTAATTACATTCAATCACTAGTAATTGTTTTTTAGTCATTTAACATGTGATTCTAAACTAATAAATCGTAGATAATTTTTATTTGTATTGGGTTACTTTTATAGTTTTATTCATATTGGGGTTACTTTTATTCATTTCAGGGGTAACTTTTGATTACTTTAGGCTATCTTTATAATGGATGTACAATAACTATTGTACACCCGATTTTTTAAAAAGTTTGTGTTCCCTAAATTAAACTTTTAGTTAAGAAAAACCAACCTCCCGTGTTGATTTATTTGCTCTGAGCCTCTGACTTTTTCATTTCTCCATTAATTCCTTTGGCATCTTTGCACTGCTTTTCCTTTCCTTTTCTTTTTTTTTTTTGGAAAAATTGCTCCCATTAATCTGAACTTTTCCTCATCCGCCGAAATTAATCCCAACTTCCGTTTATTATCTATCACTCCCAACTTTGGGGGTATTAATTTTCGTTGCACCCATTTAACCTGAAACCGGATTAGAAGGTAACCTTTTAGGGGGTTGAGATGCTTCCCTCCCTTGTTACTGCCACGTCAGCTTTCCCTCCCAACTACTCTCTGTACTCTCTCTACTACTCCCTCCCTTTCATTTACTTCTTCATTTACTACAACAGAGCATCGAAAAAAAACCCTCAAATTGACGCCATTATTGAAGCTTCAACCACAATTGTACTTGGGCAAATGTCATGATCTTCGATTTCTGAGAAGGAGAAGCACCACGCGTTCTTGGGAAAGTGTCGAACTTCCATTTTAGGTAAGTTTTTGAACCCTAATCTTTCGCTTGAATTCTGCTGAATTTGTGCTTAAATTACGCATCTTTTCCTCAAACCCTTATTAATTAAACTGGGAAATGATTAATTTGTGTAAGGATATGCTATTTGTTTGTTAATTATGCATGCGAATTGTTGTGGTTTTGTAATACTTAGTGTTTTTGTTGTTGTTAGTTTGATTGTTTAAATTCGAACCCCAAATGCTTTGATTTAGTGTAGTCTTGACTGTAATGTAATTGCTGTTAAATTAGGTATGGCTCCAAATAAATTTACCTTGAAAATGTGGCATGGAGGAGTGTTTCAACATCTTGACAATGGTGAATTGTGTTATATGAATGGTAAAGTAGAACCTTTAATGTAAACCCAAATCAATTGTGTGCTTATTATCTTTTGGAGTTGGTTATGAGGTGTGGAAAGTATAAGGATAGAGTACAGGGGTTTATGTACTTAGTTCCAGGACTGAGTTTGAAAGGTGGGTTGAGGAGAGTTGATGATGATGACAGTATGAGGTAGATGGTAGATGTCTCACTTAATAATAGGGCTGTTGATGTGTATGTTGTGCATGGTGAGAATGACCCAATACTCTTCCTAACAGAAAAATAGCCTACCTCATCAAAAAACCCCAAAACTATGAGAACCAAAAAACTACCTGTAAAGAGGGGACCACCAGTGAGAGCAAGTCCAAGGAACAAAAGTCAGCTTCCCTTGACTATTTCTGAACCTTCCCAAAATACCCTTGACAGCTCATTAAATGAAAAAGAAGATGCTCCTAGTCCTTTTGTTGCCATTCCACCCACCAATACTTTACCCAACCAAAGTACTCTTAAAGTTAAATATGTTATAAACCCTAATTCAGACTTGGCAAAAGCATATCCCACATCCTCTTTCTTTCCTTCAGCTTCACTAATCAACTCTAAGCTTGTGAACAATTATGAATGGGAAGATGCAAGACCTGACAGCCCTATTCCTTTACATGAGCTGATCCCAACTGTTAGTTCTGAGAGTGACAGAGAAGATCCACCTTACCAGCCACTAGAACCAGAATTAGAGTTAGACAAAGGGAAAGGGCCAGCTATAGACAAAGGGAAAGGGCCAGCTACAGACAAAGGGAAAGGGGCATAGTTAAGCAAAGGGAAAGGGGCAGCTGTAGACAAAGGGAAAAGGCCTATTTCTCTTTTTGGTGAAGTGTACTCAGATGTGGAAAGTGATGGTGCAGAGGATAAGATTGGGGAAGAAGAAGATCCTGGTCAGGGTCATGATCTAGAAACTGAAGTAGGGGAAGAGGTGCAAGGGTTGGATG